ACTCTTAAATGGATTAGGATCATTTAGATGGCTCTGGCCAAGAGATCACTCAAGATTATCCTGAACAATCATTGGTAGACATCCTCTAGGATGCTCCTGGCTGAAATGATAACAGCTCTTCAGCACATGTGGCCCCTGGGTAACTATATCTTTGACTCTTCAATTTGTAGCTTGTTTGTTGCCTTGGAAGAGGAGGGGAGCAGATATGTTACATGAATTACACTTCCCCTCCCCCCCTTCAATCCCATTTTCACAAAACACATCTCCCCTGTTTAGTTACAGCAGACGTCAAAGTGTACTGCATGATTCCAATTGGAGATTATGTGCATGAAAGACCTGTCTTCTGTAGCTTTGGCTCTTTTGTTTATGTGAAAATCAGTGCTCTGTGATGTGCAATGGAAGGGAAAATACAACCTCTTTAACTTGACTGATACATCCATACAAGTACATTAGAATAAAATACCTCTTTTAGACTGTGGGCTCTGTGGAGCAGGAAATATCTGTTTTGTTTGTACAGCACCTAGCACAACAGGACTCCTGATTTCTCACTGGGGCCTCTAGGTACTACTGCAATATTGATATTAATAATATAATCTTTGTGTAATTCAAATAGGTCCATCTTTTCTGAACTTTGCTAAAGTTAGTGCAGCTGTGTGCATTTACACCGGGAAAAGATTTGGTCCATAATCCATGGGTTGGTTCATAAACAGAAACTCAAAGAAAGGTCACAATCAAATTGCAGAAAGTGGCTTTTCATGCAGAGGCCCCTGAAATATTTATGATATTGATACAGTCAATTTACAAAGATGGGGGGAGGGGGAGAAAGGAAAGCTGAATGCCTCAGAGCTAAAAATAAACAGTCTGAGTCACAAATATTAGTCTAATAAGAAAAAGTATGTTAGTGCAATTTCTCTGATCACACTAGCACAGGAATAATGATCCACCTATTTGTGACAAAGTTCCTCCTCTATCTTGGTGGGTCCTGCGCTTATTGGCGGATTTTCTTGCCTCAGAGATTCACCATGTGGGTTGGGGAACAGCCCAGAGACCTTCCCCTCTGGAAGAACCCACAGTCCAGGTCAATTGGGAGGTTTGGGGGGAACCCGGGCCCGCCCTCTACTCCAGGTTCCAGCCCAGGGCCCTGTGGACTGCAGCTGTCTATAGTGCCTCCTGTAACAGCTGCATGACAGCTACAACTCCCTGGGCTACTTCCCCATGGCCTCCTCCAAACACCTTCCTTATTCTCACCACAGGACCTTCCTCCTGGTGTCTGATAACGCTTGTGCTCCTCAGTCCTCCAGCAGCACACCCTCTCACTCTCAGCTCCTTGTGCCTCTTGCTCCCAGCTCCTCACACTACAAACTGAAGTGAGCTCCTTTTAAAACCCAGGTGCCCTGATTAGCCTGCCTTAATTGATTCTAGCAGCTTCTTCTTAATTGGCTTCAGGTGTCCTAATTAGCCTGCCTGCCTTAACTGGTTCTAGCAGGTTCCTGATTACTCTAGTGCAGCCCCTGCTCTGGTCACTCAGGGAACAGAAAACTACTCATCCAATGACCAGTCTATTTGCCCTCTACCAGACTCCTGTACCCCACTGGTCTGGGTCTGTCACACTATACAAATAGTTTAATAAACACTGACATATTACAAGAAGATTCAATGCTGCATCAAGTGAAAGGAGAATCTGGTCTGTGAGTTGTAAATTGTGTAGAAAAATCCCTTTGAACCACTCTGAAAATTTTACATCAATCTGTTTTTAGTAGAAACACTGTTAATTGTACTATGAAAAATACATAGGACCAGATTCTCATTTACACTAAGGTCCCTTTATGCTAATGGAGCCTTAAAATGGGCAGAAATTATATATACACCTTCTTTAAGGCTCCCTTACACTGCCAGAGTAGACTAAAGAGCCTTAGTGTAACTGAGAATCTGGTCCATATTCTTCATACGGGAATGTGAAAACATATCTTGGAAACCTTTGAGTGTACTGGATCAGTTATTACAAATTCATTACCAACTACCAAATGCACACTGTATTTTTTTTTTAAATGAGTCCAGGACACCCTCCCCCCAAATATTTACTTTTCCCTTAAATTGGAATGATGGGCATCTTAGCTCTCAGTGTTTTATTAATTGTTGAAGAAACTTCTATGGTCTCTACATAAATTATGTTCAAGCACTGAGAGAAACATAACAGTTGTTGGGCTATTTTTGTTGTTTAACAACATGCAAAAAAATCTCAATATGCTTGGAATCAGAGTCATAGATTTGTCCTTGAAATATAACACATGGTCTTTGAAACTCTTCACTGAGTTAACATGAAGTTGTTTTTCTGCGTTGTAAAATAAATCTTATCAAAATGAAATTTAATAGTTGGGTATTAAGGAACCATAAGAAAAGCTTAAAAGCTATTTGTTATCTTTATGTTTATAGTATCCTGAAATGCATATTGAAATGAAAAAATATAACTTGATTTCCATAAAACACAGCCAAATACTGGCCAGTTTAACTGCATGTCTGTTCTCTGCAGCTGTTATTCCTAAATGGTACTGGAAGACCATGGGATAGAGTTAAGATAATGTGAGTCTGGTGAGTCATTTCACAAGGTGACATATAGCATGGATTTCAGTACACAACAGATGGCTTTTACTCTACAATATACTTATTTTGCACTCTGTTAGAAATACAGTTTTTCACCTCCTGTATTATGATGAGTAATGTATTATAAAAATTTCAATAGGAAGTATAAATAGGAGATCGTAACATATGGCTTTCACAGTATGAAATACAGATTTCCTATCTTATACAAATATTTCCCCTGGCAGTTCTTCATTTTCTATCCTAAAAATGGTTGTGCAGTCTTGTTGTGCACTGTTAAACAGCCAGTGTGCTCCGCCCCTGCTATGAGGATATTATTGGGTCCAGCCTCCCTTTCTGCAGAAGCAAATTGTGCCTCCACAATGAACAGCAGGCATGAATCGGAGTAGTTCTCCCTCTAGCTACCTGTTTTGAGCCTGCAGGTGGGTAGAGTGAGGCTAACGTGCTCACACTTGCTACTGAAGGGTGGGTGCTAATTCTGCAGCTGTAAATTGCATCCACCTAAAGGAGGGAGCCGTTCAGGCACACTTTAGATTATTGAAACACATTGCTGAAATTTTCAAAGAAGCTTAAGAGAGTTAGGCGCTCAGTTTTCATTGAACTTCGATGAGTTTTGGGTGCCTACATCCCCATGGCTTCTTTGAAAATCTCACCCTATATATTACATAGTTTTTTCTATGTTGAAAGAACAGCATTTAGGTTATAACGTTGAGCATTTGAATGTTAGGAAATGCCAGATTTATGGTTGCTCATGCAAGCTTAATTCAGCCCCTTTGTGCTTTGAACTTGTGCCCCAAACAAAGCAGGGATCCTATGGAAAAAATAGTAGTTATCATATAATTAAAGACTCTACTATAATGCATATGCAGTGCACAAGAGGGCAGAATTAAAGTTGTCCAGGCAACTGTAAACCTGCATTTTCCAACTTTCAAAGCTTGACTTTGCAACATTAACAATATTCTTTTAGCACAGTTATTTTATATGTAATTATATTATGTGCATTGTAACAACTTCTCAGCATGCATCTTAAGCAAAAGTCATGAGCCTGACAAAGGAATCACTTGGCAAAATTCTCTGACCTGTGTTATGCAGGAGGTCAGACTAGATGATCATAATGGCCACTTCTGACTATAACATCTGTGAATCAGCAGCAGCCTGAACCTTCAGTACCACAGCACACACTGCTGCCACCTGACTACAGGACTAACTACACTAGCTAGCAGCAGCAGCAGCAGCAGCTGTGGGTGGACGAGTGGGCCGAAGTATTGGATCTAGGGGATGGCCAAGGGGATGATGAGCTTGGCCTATGAATCTCTCTCTCTCTCTCCCTCCCCCAGAGTGGGAATTGGGGAACTTCCTGCCCCATGAGGTGCCCCCTGGTGGGACCAGGTGATGGGTCTGGGGGAGATTTATGGGGTGGATGGAGGGGAAGCTGCTCCTGGTAGGTGGGGGGTAGGGGTTCCTGCCCAATGTAGTGCCTCTAGAGGGGGACCTGGTCCACTGGGGTCATATGCTGGACACAGGAGTGGAGAGGAGCCCAGCTCAGCTTTTTTTCCTCACCCCTAACACTGCTCCCAGGTGTTCATAATAAAGCATGTGCTGCAGCAGCCTGGCCATAGACTGTTGGTATTAGTTATTATTTAGGCAGGCTGCCAACGCTTTCTGAGGAATGCAAGCAAGAGAAAGAAAATTGTGATTCTGAACAGTTTATAACAACACAAGTCAAATAGAATTTCACAGAACAAAGACAAGGCACTTCTCCACCCTGAGAACATTTCCCGTGTTAAATATCAAAGGCCTGTTGTAAACAGTGGAGATTTAAGAACTTCTTAAAGAAAAGAATGCAAGTATCTTTTATAATGGAAATTGTTAGGCAACCTAAATATAGGGGTCACTTCCAGATCCCTCTATAATCTATAGCTCTAGCCCACATTTTTAGACTAATGACCAGTACAATTTTATTTGAAAATACAAAACTAGTTTGAGTCCTAAGAACCCTTTCCTATCCCTGTTCTTCCATATATATGAAACAGCCCCATCAAGGACCTTTTATAATTTATATGAACATCTTAAGATCTTAAAGGAGATCCACACATTTTGCATATGGATGTCATGTCAAACAAAGATCAACCTGAAGTGTGTCTGTTCCCTGTAAGCAGACTGCAGAGCAATCCATGTATTGTTTAAAAGCCTTCTCTGATGCTTTTGAAGAAAAAGAACATATTTTTGAAAGTACAAAGAGAAATCTGGAGAACATTTTAGCACTGCAGTGGAGGATTCTCTGAAGCGCCTAGTGAGCAGCATCTGGAATCTGCAACAGGGGTCAAATATGTGGAAAAAAACCCTACCAGTGACAAATGAACTCTAGGCTACATTCCTTCTTCACTGTTTTATACTCTTACCTCCGATTCTTTGTAATAGCGCTCAGGGATTTCGTCACAGGCAATATCGATAAAGCAGACTTCCCGCTCAAGATCTTTGGCTTCGTTGTCAAAAATCTGCAAGATTTAAAGAAACTTTAACTTTACAACAGGACAGTTCCAGCTGCAATACTGGTTACTAGGCATTGTGAGGGGCTGAGCCAATGGCTTGTAGAACAGCAGAGCGCACAGAGCAGAGGAATCTGACCTCATGCTTGGAACGCTTGCAGCAGCACTCCATGTTCCACATAATGCCAAGCCAGCCGCAGAATCCAGAGGCCCTGTACACGTGCCAGAGCACGCAATGAGCCCCAGGGGAGAAAGTGGGTGTGACCAAGGAGGCAAACAACAAGCAATACATTCCTAAGCAGGATCCAACTCCTGCTTAAGAGGAGTGTGCAGCAGCCATTGTTTTGGGCTATTTAATCACTCCTGCTTCAAGCCAGGAGGCATTGGACTGTATTTAACAGTACACCCTGCTCAATGCCCCTTGCTGCTTCTCTGCTCCATCCACTCCTTTCCATGTCACTGTGCACACCTTTGTAGGCTCCAGCCCCTAGTGACTACTGGGTAAAGCAGATATTTAGTCAAAGGATTATTATTTATGATGCCTTCTCTAATTGTTGGGCCAGATATCACCATCAAGGGAAAAGCTGAATTTCCAGACTCAAATTTCTTTTGTTCTTTCTAGAAGAGTTATTAGAAGAGCTATTCTACTTTCAGGACAATGATGAAATGTATCTGTGCATGTGTATGAAAAGAGACAAAGCTTCAACTCTGCTGTTATACTGAGACTCAGGATTCTGGTTGAATCCTACAGATTAAAAAGGTTGAGGAAACCGTAAAATCACAGGATAAAGTTCTGCTCTCAGGTGTGTGCATGAAGCTCCTATGGATTTAAATCCTTTAGGACCAGGTTTTGAAAGGCCAGGCTCCATTTCTGCACCTACATATTGGGGGTGCACTTTTGGAACCACAATTATTTGCATGTACAGTTTAGGCAATTTCTATGCCTAACTACCTGACTGTGCCCACAAATCAATTACATGGGCATCTCAATGACGTATGCTGTGTCTGCAATGTTTTGTGGGCACAAAAATGGTGGCCAGGTTAAGGCGGTCCTAAAGTCAGGAGAGCCATGCATGCACAGTCAAGGACAAGAACTGGCCAAGAGTGTGTTTTACCTGAGTAGTACCATGCTCTACGGCTAACATTTTCAGGAAATATATATATCCCTTGCTTGAAAAATAAATTTAATGAACATACAAAAAAGTTAATTCCATTTCATTTCAGCCTAGTGGGACAATTAATTTGATATAAGGATACAAAATACCAGCGCTACTCAGTAGCCAGATTGCCAGTTTGGTATTTCTGCAAGAAACATAACTATTCAATATACAGCATTCATAATGAAAGAGAGACTGGAAATGGGCAAATATATGGGAGGAGGTTGGGCTAGGCTAGTTTGTAAATTCTTAACAGGGTGCTATTAGTAACATGGGTAAGAAACTTTCTTAAAAATATGTTTTTAATCTGACATTGTCCATTCATCTGTGTACTTGAGATGTTGCAGGCTCAATCTTCTAGCAGAACCTATAAATTACACACGTTTTAATTTTTTTCTCCCTTTAAAAAAGTTTGAAAGAGGTCAGGTGGACAGATGCCTGGAGGCTGTTCAATTAAATCACTAGCCTTTGCTAGTTTGTCAGCCAAGTGAATGGTTAGAAATGCACATAAAAATGTATCATCCTCAAAGGGTTAATTTAGGAGGAAGAGATTATTTCCCATCCCTCTCCATCTCCATTACTCCTCCTCCTCACCCCAATTTGGCACTAGTACACAGACCATTTCCTTAACTCCAGAAGTTGGCTGCATGATGTCCTGGCTCCCCATTACTAGCCCAAGTCGTCATCTAATCATTGGTCCGTGTTCTTTTCTTAGACTGTCCTCACAAGATTTGCAGATGGAGATTTAATCCCCTAGTTTTATCAGCAGTGGAAAATAAGAAGTCATTAGAGCACAAGATTGATTTCTTTTTTAGGTCTAATTCTCTTATTGCCTCTTCTAGCCAAATACTCCGGGATATTCTTAAAGCCCACAGGGGGGATGGTTTGATTGCTTTTGCAATCAAAATTAAGAATCTGGAGAAATTAAAAAGTTTTAAAAAAAGAGATTAAAGCCCACAAAAAGAAACGTAAGGCTCCCAATCTGTGCAGCTATATTTGCAAGTGTGCTGAGAGTGAATGACAAGAATGCTTTGTATCCTTCATAATAAAGGAGAAATTGTAGAAAGGCTGAATGTTAAATATTATTAAATCTGAAGGGTCATTTTGAGAGAGAGCGAGAGCGCACACTTTATTGCAATATACAAACATCTGTGCGCTTCCATTTTCCAAGAGGGATGAAAACTGCCCAAGAGAAGTTTCCCAGTCAGATTAAATCACCCCCAAATAACAGAAGAACAGACAGTAGATTTTAATTGGGCTATTTTGTATCAAGATAAAGTCGTTTGTTTAGAACAAATAAAAATGCCAAAAAAAAAAAAGCCCTGGGACAACGTTAGAAGAAGCTTCTGATGCCCAAAGAAAGATCACCCAGGGCACTGAGACAAAAACAAATGCTTTTCAATTTACCCCCATTTCTTTTCTTTCTACTATGTCATGCGAGCTCCACTACCTTTTCTCTCCTAGGTTCCTGGCTCAAACCTAGCCCAGGTCATAGTGACTGTCAGTTTCCGCCATCTGACTGTGAACACTTAGGGTATGTGTTCACTGCAGAGTTAACCTGAACAATTGACACTTGGGTCTGAGCACGTGGATTCTCCCAATTTGGGTGTGAGCAGCTAGACTACAAAGCCATACTCAAGTGTGCCCACTTGATTGCATCCACACTGGTTCTGCACTCACTCAGGTGAGGAAGTAGGACTTCTGGGGTCACGTCCCATGGTTCTTTGTGCTGCTTTAAACAGAGCCAATCTATGATTCTTTCTTAGTGAATTGTGAGGGTACTTGTCTGGCCTTCTGGGCACACATGAGGAATTGTGGGAAGGTATTGGAGGACTATCATCATTTGAGTGGTTTAGCTTGCATCCTACTGCAAAGTGGGTGGTTTACCAGCCTGAGTGTAAGCAGTGCTCAGCCCACCCCAAGAGGGGTCAGCTAATCTGGGCGTAAAGCACCACCCTGCACAGGCCAGGACGATTTGTGTGTGAATGGGAGCTAGGTTAAGGACAACATTCAAGTAGAAGCCCAGGTAAACTCTGTAATGAAGACAAGCCCTTAGAGATTAAAGCAATCAAGTGGCCAGTGAGGAAAGCTGAACTCAGTATTTTCAAAAAGAAGCAAGGTTCTAAAATGGACATGTTTCCTTTGGAGACTATTCAGTCCCATCCATTGTCTGGGTTTGGGCAAGGGAGGAGCTCCAAGTCTTGTTCATTTTCAATACATTAGATTCACACCGTTTGCAACTAATTGTGCAAGTAAATGAAAAGGATAATATCTCCAAAATAGATTTGCTTCCAGAAGAGCAGGACACTCCTAAATCAATTACAGGTAAGGTAATATGGTAGAAAATATAGTTGTTCTCATGTTCTGAGTATCATATCTCTGGGCCTGTCTACAACACAAAGTTGCACCAATAAGATTGCTCTCTATAAATACATCAGAGGGATAAACACAAGGGAGAGAGAGAAGTTATTTAAGTTAAGGGCCATCAATAAGTTTAGGCGTGAAGTTAGATGAAGGTTTTTAACCATGGGAGGAGTGAAGTTCTGGGACAGCCTTCCAAGGGGAGTAGTAGGGGCAAAAAACCTAACTTGTTTTAAGACTGAGCTTGATACATTTATGGAGGGGATGGTATAATGAGGTGGTCTACAAAGGCATATGACCCATCTGCAACTGCTATTAGCAAATATCTCCAGAGGCCAGAGATGGGACACTAGATGAGGAGGTCTTCCGAGTTACTACAGAGAATTCTTTCCTAGGTGTTTGGCTGTGGGTCTTGCCTACATGTTCAGAGTCTAACTGATCACCATATTTGAGGTTGGGAAGGAATTTCCCCCCAGGTCAGATTGGCAGAGACGCTGGTTTTTTTCGCTTTCCTTTGCAACATGGAGCATGGGTCTTTAAATCAAGATTTGAGGACGTCAGTAACTCAGCCAGTGGTTATGGGTCTACTACAGCAGTGGGTGGATGAGGTTCTGTGGCCTGCAATATGCAGGAGGTCAGACTGATGATCATGATCCCTTCTGGCTTTAAAGTCTGTGAGTCTGTGAAATGACTAGACGGGTCTCAATTCACCCCTAATGTTTTTTCAGTGAAAATTTATGTGTGGGCACTCTTATTTCAAAATAAAAGTGTCCTAGTTCAATGAAGTTTATTCTGAAATAGGAGTGTCCACACAGACTTGCATCAAAATAACAAAGCATGCAAATGAAAACTGATCCAGTTATATAGTCTCTGTGTAGATCAGTCCGTAACCAATAGATATAGGGCCTACTCCTGGCTTTTTTTGAGTCAATGGGAGTTTGACCACTTATTTCAATGGAAGTGGGATGAGGCCTTAACTGTATATTACAAAATTATAACATAAATAAGAAAACGAACCAGAGCAGAACAGATTGTTTAATCTGGAGTGCAACTGTTGATCTGCATGCCTCAAATCAGAGTCAATGTCCAATCCAATTATTAGTCCATCTTTGACCTAGTAAGAAATTTGCTGAAGTAGCCTCCCAGAAAATGTGTCATGCTGCTGCATAAATTCTCAGATGTGCCTGGAAATCTATAGATACTGAATTGTTGCCTCATTAAAAGCTTGTCTCAAAGGTAGAAATTCTCTCCTCCTAAATTAAGCACTGGGGTTCAGATTGTGAACAAATCTACAAATTAATTTTTCTCTCCCTCCCCAATACTAAAATTATTTGATTGTTATGGACAAAGTAACAATTAACATACCCCTGATTTACAGTTTAACCAGTTTGTTTCCATTCTGCATCATTCAGTTTCTTTTCCTATAAATATCTTTATTTGTGTCAAGTTCTAGAGTTAAAAGCAGGACTTTTTGTTTGTTTGTTTGTTTGT